GTTCCTAGAACAGCGAGCAGTAAAGAGGGTGGGGTGCACAAACGTAATACATAAGTTACATAAATATCAATAATCATTCTCATTCAGAAAATATCATTATTAGAAATCTGCCCTCAGCTGTGGGGTAGAGACCCGTCACCTGCAGTGCAGGTACAGCAGCAGACAATAAAAAAAAGAAACAACTATTTGGAAAAAAAATAGATTCTGAAGGTTTATTAGCTTTTTAAATTCTCAGGTTTATATATATCGGCCAAGCAAATTAACTTTTTTTTAAAGGGGTGACTGGTCCTCGTTGTGAAGGAGAGAGCTGAGGAGGCCAGGTGATTTGTGGCAGCTCCTGGCTGACTTCCTTAACATTCTGCGGGCCCTCAGAAAACCGCAGGGTGAGAGCCCGGACCCCCTTGACAACGGTCTGCAGTGTGTGGAAGGGAACGGCGGAGGGTCAGGAACAATGTAAACAAGGTCCCATTAATAGAAGGAGAACATTCCAGGTCTGAGGCTCCATAATTAGCTGCCAGGCCACAGGGCAGAGAGCCACGCTTTACATAACAAGATGGATGGAAAGGGGCCTGTTATCCCGGACCGCCAGGAACCACGCCGCAAACTGCACGCTGCGAGGCCGAGGGAGCCGCAACCCTGAGCTATGAGAGCCTGGGAGTCCTGTACACCTTCCACCACCCTGCCGGGGGGGGGCCCGACCCTTCTGCTTCTCATTATCCATGGCACACCTGGAATATCAGCCCTGTATATCACACAGGGGTGTCCCGAGACCAGGTGACACCCCGCCGTGTCGTCATCGCGCGTACATGTGATGTCACCTCTTGCATGTGCGACCATCTGATTGACGCTTGCCGGCGGCCATCTTGGTAATGGACGCCGGCAGAGGGAGGAAGGGACGTTCACCCGGTGGGATGAGTTATGCCGCCGGGTCCCCTCCTCTCTCCTGACACTGTCGTATATTTATGCAAGTAATGCAATGGGGCGATAGTTGCCACATTCCGTAGGATCCTTTCCCTCCTTGGGGATCACCGAGATGTACACAGCAAGCATATTCCTAGGGGTAATTTGCCTTCCAGGATAGAATTGAATGCTTATGTAAATTGTAGAATAAGATACTTCTGGAAAGATTAATAGTAGTGAAGGGAAAAGCTATCTGGGGCTGAAGCTTTTCCTGTTTTCATATTCTTAATGGGCAGGGCAACTTCCTTTCTTGAGATAAAAGCTTGCATCTTGGAACATTTCTAATATTATTAGAGTATGTTTGTTGTTACCTTACCATACTGAATACTACAAAAAGGGCCACTACTGTCCTATGTTACATACGTACATATGTACATTCATACATACACACACATACAAACTTGAAAATGTGTAATTTTGCCCTACTTAAAACACTTTATTACCCAACTGGGAATGTGGAACTTCAGATAAAAAAACTTACAAGTATATATGTCTTAAAATTGTTCAAATATGGATACCTTTGTATGTGTTTTCTTTTCAGATGCATTGTTTAGATGAAAAGGTTTTCTCCTCAATATATTGTTCCTACAGAGAATACTTTACTACTCCTTTGTGTTGAAGACTCACAGAGGGATTAAAATATATGTATACTTTTGTAGTAAAAAACAAAATTACATATTATGCTGGTCTGCATGTCTCTTAAATAGATTCAATATCTTTATCCAGAAGTCATAAATGATGATTTCTATAGAGCGCTTCACTTTCTAAAAACACATTCAATCATGGAAGAAACAAATCATAAGCTGTAGGAAGATAATGTCCATTGCATGAATGCAAGTACACCTCAATCATTCCCCTATCACCAAGGGTGATGCCTGATGCTTGCTGTAACCAACTAGCATTCTGTAAGGACAGCAATCTTAAAAATGAATGCTAGGGACTAGACCTTTTTTTGCTTAATTGTAGGTATAGCAAACAGCTATGTTTTCTGTGATAATGTTCTTCTGTCTGTGTCCTTTCTTGTTCTCTGTTTACGTAATGGCAGAATCTTAAGGGATTTCACTCAGTGTGTGAAGTTTGCTGTTGCTGGCAGGGCAGCCATCAGAAATTTCTGGGCCCCTTAGACGGCTTTAGGCTGGGCCCCCCCGCCACACTGAGCCAGTCACACTGTTATTACTGTACATATACACCCATCAGTACTTCATTGGGCCACGAGATGACTCCGAGATGTTGAAAGATGATGCGAGGAATCTGACACTGCACTGTTGCCCTTCTGTTGTCTTGTACCAGTCCT